CAATTACTGTAACATACATACTACATCAGTTACAATGTTTTCCTGTACTCAATCCTTTACATCAGGGGTAGGCAACCTTTCCCTTTTAAGGGCCGAGGGACTTCAGCTCCCAGAAGCCTCAGCCATGTTGGCCAATAGTCTCGTGTTGGCCAATAGCTCCTGGGATTCTGGGAGCTGAAGTCCCTCGGCCCTTAAAAGGGGAAAGGTTGCCTACCCCTGCTTTACATCCTTTGTTAAATGCCCCTACATTTATCCTCCACTTATACGTGACTCATATAAAAATCTATAATTTTGGCTCCCAAACCTGCCCTTTATTTAAACATGAGGTTGACTTATAGTTGAGTATATATGGTTGGCTGAAGTCTACAAAAGCTCATACTGCCAGCTTCTTTCTTTCATTTAGTCTGAAAGGTGCTACAAGATCCCTCTGCATACAGATTTTCCAGATTAACATGCTTATGTCTTTGTATTCTACTACAAATGATCATTCTAAATGTGCATCTCAGGAAAGAGGCTCAAATCTACAAAAGTTCATGCTATTAACTTCTTTCTTTCAGTTAGTTCCAACTTTGCAACAATGTGCTTTGCATATTGTCTGATGCCGGAGTGAGTTCCCTCCAGCTGGAGTGAGGGGCACCATTCGCGGAACATATGAAGTTTTATTTACTGTGAAGTGATATTGGATCTTACATTTTTTATCCTTCAGTATCTTAGATATTAAATTGTACCAAACTAAGGCAGATGTCTCTGAAAGGGTGTAGTTTGTACAAAGGGTACAGATTAAACCTTGTACTGAAGTTGGAGACATAGCTGTGTTAGTCTGGAATATCATATGAAAAGGGAGCTTGTAGCACCTTTGAGATTAACTGTGAGAAAGAAGTAGCATAAGCTTTTATAGTCTGCGTGCATCTGAGGAAGTAGACTCAGTCTGTGAAAGCTTATGCTACAATGCTTTCACACAGTTAGGGCCGATGCAGATGGCCTGTTTGGGGCGGCAGAGAGCCTCCCCGGGGAGCGGCGGATCAGGGTCAGGGCAACCCCATGCCGTGACCCAGATTCTCCCTTTTGCCGTCCCCAAAAGAGTGGCAAAATGCTGCTCCTTTTAGGGATGGCAAAAAGCCACCCTAAGAGCTGGTGCCACGACTCTTCTGTGCTCTTTTGGTGCAGCGTGTACACACGCTGCCCCAGGAGGGCATCCTAACAGTGCACGCTGTGTGTATGGGCGCGTGGCATCAGGACAGCATTGGGGTGAAGTTGGGGCAGCCAGTGTGCAGCTGCCCCACCCCAACTCCACTTCCAGGCCGGCCCTTAGTCTCAAAGGGGCTAGTTGATGTACTGAAGCACTTTAGGTTACATAGGAATGTTGGATGCTACCTTATATTGAATCTTACTAGTCCTTCTGACGCACCCATATATTGTCAATTTTAGTTGGATTCATTTGCGGACATCCCTGATTGTCCAGGTGGTATTCTGTACAAGTACCGTAATAACTGGACTTGACCCTGATTCTGAATGCTGCAGACTGATCTGAATGGTAGTCAGAGATACAGTTTGGAGAGAGTTGACATGCAAACAAGAGAATTAAGCTGTTTTGCAGAAATAATCACACAGATTTTTTAGCAGGAGGAAAATTTCAGCTCTTTAGAGCAATTAAACTAGAGTATGTGTATGCATTTTTGAGAAACACATATCTTGTTCCTTTTGGAAGAGATTGAATTATTTTAAACATGTTATTTCTCTCTTGGATGATTTACTTAGCAAAATACTCAGTTTGCTAACTGGAGACCAATTGTTAACACATTTTCTGGTTTGTTTTAAATAGATTATTGCAGTGTGTTTGCCTATACTAACTGAATATAAAAACCATTACAGGTTGAGTCTCTTTAATCCAGTCTCAGGGGAAGGTAATGGCAAACGTCCTCTGAACAAATGCTGCCAAGAAAACCCCATGATAGGTTCACCTTAGGGTTGAAGGCACACAACAACAAATGCAAATAATGTACAGGTATTCAAAAATCCAAATAAATAATTAAAAAAAATAAATCAGAAGTCCAAAACACTTCTGGTCACAAGCATTTTGGAGAACAGAGACTCAGCCTGTAGTGTCTGTTTTGTTGGGTGTTCCCCACATCCCCCTCCCAGCTAACACTGCTCTTGTTAAATATTCAGCTTTTCTGACAACATAAAGTGAAAGCTTATTTCAGACTTTCTATTAATATTGATGGCTACTGAGTAAACATAACAATCGTCTGAGCAACGTTTTGCATCTTTTATTTCTTTTGTGTAACATTTTTTCCTAAGCAAGTGTGACAGTGTCTGGAGATGTCACTTTCCTGTAGTTAAGCATGTCTAGGTGTGGTCAGTGTTTGGAAGGGAAACCACCAGGGAACTCTTTGTGCACTGACTTTTTCTAAAATTAAAGGAAGGAAGCCAGGATGTAAATGTAAGAAAAAAAGAAACATAATTTAGGATTATTGTTCATATACTTGTTGTTGTTGTTGTTATATGTCTTCAAGTCATTTCTGACTTATGGTGATCCTAAGGCAGGGGTAGGCAACTTTTCCCCTTTAAGGGTCGAGGGACTTCAGCTCCCAGAAGCCTCAGCCATGTTGGCCAATAGTCCCATGCTGGCCAATAGCTCCTGGGATTCTGGGAGCTGAAGTCCCTTGGCCCTTAAAGGGGAAAGGTTGCCTACCCCTGCCCTAAGGTGACCCTATCATGGCTTTCTTGGCAAGATTTATTCAAAGGTGGTTTGCTTTTTGCCTCTCTGTGCGGCTGAAATGTATGGCTGCATTCACACTGCAGAAATAATCTAATTTGACATGACTTTAACTGCCTTGGCTCAGTGCTGTGGAATTGTGGGAATTGTAGTGTGTTGTGGCGTTAGAGCTATCTACTGTGAATGCTAAATGTCTCACCAACCTACATTTCCCAGAATTCCATGGCATTGAGCCATGGCAATTAAAGTGGTGTCAAACTGGATTATTTGTCCAGTGCAAATGCAGCCTAAGAGTTGCCTAAGGTCACCAATGGGCCAACCATGGCTGAGCGAGGATTTGAACTTTGGTCTCCAGCATCATAGTCTAACACTCAAACCACTACACTATGCTGACATTTCATGTGCTAGACTCTATATAAATACGTGTGTAATTTATATACAACACAATTGCTCTAAAGAGATCATGAAACTTGTAGGATGTGACATCTAGGTAGTGTTTCTAAATATTGCACCTTATACTGGCATTTGATAATTGAGTTCATCAGTGGAGATTGCTCATTGTTCAATTCAAATGCACCAGTGGTAACCCTGGTATTGGAAAGTTAATTGTCAAAGCTTTATAGTACTTTCTTCAGATTGAATCTCTCTTATTGGGAATTCTGAAATCAAAAACTGTACTCCAGATCCAAAATTGTCCACATGGGTGGCTGAGATAGTGGAACAATTGCTTTCTGATGGTTCAGTGTACACAAACTTCACTTTATGCACAACATTATTTAAAATATGTGTAAAATTACCTTCAGTCTGTGTGTATGAGGTGTATACAAAGCAAATTATTTTTATGTTTAGACTTGGGTCTCATCTCCAAGAGATGAGGCATTTCATTATGTGTATGCAAATAGTCCAAAATCTGAAAAAAATCTGAAATCTAAAACACTTGTGGTCCCAAGCATTTTGGGTAAGGGAAGTTCAAACTGTAATTGTTGGGTGGGGTTTTTTTGGGGGTGTGTGGGGATCTCCAAACTGATTTATATCTGAGAAAACTATAAAGCATTCATTAAATAGAGCAGAGGAAAGGAACCTCCAATCTGTGCACCTAATCTCTTGTCCCAGATTAGTCTTTGAAATAATAGGCTGTGAGGTAATTTTGTAATTCACATATTTTTAATTGATTCTATAGTTGAGGGCTCAAGGCAGATTAAAAAACCAATTTGATAGATGCATTGATTATAGCATTGATTATAAAATAACCAACAGATGCAGAAGATAATGACTGGCATCCCATTCAGTATTTATGATCTCTAAATTTATGACATTTTAAATGTAATTCACATTTAAGGTTATGTCACCATTGCAGCCATCACAAAGCCCCCTTTCCCAACCACCTTAGAAGCCAGGTTTCTGCATTGATCAAAGGAGTTCCAAAGCACTGCAGAGCAAGATGCTGAATGATGTTGCATCCAGCTGCCTCCTATCAGTGTGACATGGTGTGAAAAGCAGTGGCAAGGAGCCTGTGGAGTCCTGTCACAGCTGCTTTTTGTATTGCATCTCACAGGCAGGAGGCTGTTGCATGTGTCATCATTCAGTGCTCCACTGTTCAGCATCTTGGAACTTCATTGGTTGATGTCATTGCTTGGCTTCTAAAGTTGATTTTGGGTGGTGGACTTGGGGCGGCATAACAGTTTTGTCAAGCTTCGTCATAGTCACTACATCTGATGATGCAGAATCTCGGCCCATATAATGAAATATTGTACTAAAATGATTGAAACCAAAGGAAGATGTTGTAATTAGAGCAGGAAACAGTGCAGCAGCTTGGTTTATCAAGCCTTGCACTTCTGTTCTGCATTCTCTTATGGCAGGAATAGGCAACCTTTCCCCTTTAAGGGCTGAAGGATTTCAGCTCCCAGAATCCCAGGAGCTCTTGGCCAACATGGGACTATTGGCCAACATGGCTGAGGCTTCTGGGAGCTGAAGTCCCTCGGCCCTTAAAGGGGAAAGGTTGCCTGTCTTATGGCATGGCTGTATAAAAGCTTTCATTTCCACTTTTATTGATGTTTGTTCAGGGTATGATGAAATTCTATACCAGGAGTAGGATAACTGTAGATCCCAAATCTTCTGACATCAGTTCCCACCAGCCCAATGGTTGTATGTCTCAAAATCAGTTCAGATTTTAAGGGGTCGGGAGGTTTTCTTGGCAAGTTTTGTTCAGAGGTGATTTGCTTTTGCTTTCCTCTGAGGCTAAGAGAGTGTGACTTGCCCAAGGTCACCCAGTGGTTTTCCATGGCCAAGTGGGGATTTGAACCCTGGTTGCCGGAGTCATAGTCCAATGCTCAGACTACTACACCACTCTGGCTCTTTAATTTTCATAGCCAGTAATATGGGATATACAGTCCAAACACATCTAGAAAGATAGTTGATCTAAACAGTGGTTAATTTTAGCTATATTGCAGCAAGTTAAGATTATTAACCCATGATTTAAAAAATGGAAACATATTTTGATCCCTATTTGACTACAGTGGGGAAAAAGAGTGGTTAACAGCAGGGGGAATGTTTGAGCCTTAGGCTTCGTATGGCTTGTTCCAGTTGTGATAAAACCTTGGCTTATTGTAGCATCCACAATAAACCAAATTGTTTTGTATTTATAAAGGTATTTAATGATTTGGAAACACAGAATTCCTCAGAATGAGAGACCATGATGATAACATCTATAAAGTGAAAAAAAAGGGCATAGGACAGGATGAATATTTAAAAATCACATAGAATATTAGCATTGGAAGGGACTCCGGGGGCTATCTTATCCAACTCCCTGCCATTGTGGCAATTCACTTCTAAAGCAGCCCCAAGTAGTGGCCATCTAACCTTCATTTAATAACTTCCAGGTTATACAATCATAATTTCATGATTGGGCATGGTCATAGCATTTGGGAAAGAAGTACAGTCATCCCTCCACATTTGCAGCTTTGACTTTTGCGGATTTGATTATTCATGGATTTTATTAATATGTTCTCTCTAGGAATATCTAGGTCCTCCAGCACAACTCTGTGGTCAACTTTAATCAAAAGTTGCATTGAAAAACCTAGAGATTCCTAGAGAGAACACTCCACGAAGCATTTGTAGCTCTTCCAGTGCAATTCTCTGGTCAATGTCTGGCAGATGTTGACCACAGAGGTGCACTGGAGGATCTAGATATTCCTAAAGAGGTGTTCTCTCAGATAAAAACATAGTGTTTTTGCTATTTGTGATTTTTCCACATTCACGGGGGTCCTGTGCCCTAACCCTAGCAAATATGTAGGGATGAGTGTATACATATTTTAATCTGGACAGTTGAGGTGACAGTAGAGCAGCTAAGCAAGCCTTAGTTCACTAGTGCTGTTATTTGAAGCTCTTTGCAAGTGATGTGTTTCAGAAACAGGATATATGGAATATGTATGGCCTAAATCAGGGATAGGCAACCTTTTTGAGCCGGGGGACGGGTTGCTGTCCCTCAGACAATTGGGGGGCCAAAGCACGAAAAATAAATAAATAAATAATTTAAAAAAATATGCACACTCTCTCAGCCCCAGAAAAGCTATGGCAAAACCCCTGTGGAGATTTTGCCAAGAAAACCCCAAGAACAAGTAATAACAACAATAATCAATATCATCATGGCGAGTGGCGGCGGTGGCAGGACCGGCCTGGGGCTGGTACAAAGGCCTCGGGGGGGGCCACATCTGGCCCCCGGGCCTTAGGTTGCCTACCCCTGGCCTAAATAATTATTTTCTGGATTTGTAAGTCTCAAAGTATCTTAAAGGAAAGTTGTGTAACTTCTGTAATCCATGTGTAGAGATAACGTATATTTCACAGTTTATTGCAAACAGTACTTCTTTTATACAGTGCCATGAAGTTGAGATTTATGTAACAAATAGACGTGATTTCCTGATCACTCTTCCCCACAGCTCTATTCTTGTGCTCTTAGTACATGGAAATCAGAATGCAGAGTTACCTATATAAACATTTTGTATATTCATTTCTAGAGAGCAGGCATGATGTAGTGGTTTGAGTGTTGGACTAGGATTCTGGGTTCAATCCCTGCTCAGCCATGGAAAACCACTGTGTAAGTTTGGGATATACAGTCCAAACACATCTAGAAAGAATGGCAACTCACATTCTCTCAGCCTCAGGGTAAGGCAATGACAAACTCTCTCTGAACAAATCTTGCCAAGAAACCCCTTGGTAGGGTTGCTGTAAATCAGAAATGACTTGAAGGCATACAACAATAGCAATATCCATTTCAGAAAAAGAAAAATGTATTTTTTATTTTATAAAAGAGTTTATTTACAATTATCTATAAAATTCCGCTATTTAACATTTAAATACCACTGTGCCTGGTAGGTTGCCTGCTGTGTGGCTCTTGTTTTCAGCTGGGTAATCTCTACAGTTTGTATACCTGGGAAGAATGGGTTGCTGGAAACTGCAGAATTAGATACAGAAAGCTCTTTGCTTGACTTGTTGTGCATTTGATGCCATTGGCACGGCAATTGTAAGGCAATATTTGTATGTTAGCCATTTGTTAGTCTCTACATCCAGAGTTATGTCTTATGCGCCTAAAAATATGGTAGGTATGGGGAGGTGCTTTGCTCAGAAAATTCAAGTGACAGTCCAGATTCTTTCATGGAGATTTGCTTATTGGCCCAGTTTTCTTGTATGCTGCAACTTGCCTGACACTACAATACTGTGTCTGACCTAGATAGGAAGAAAGAATTAAGCTACATGGCTGCTTAACTTTTGTGACAAAAATATTGGAACATTTTGCACAGCAAACTCTTTGCATGGCTTGTATGCTGCAGCCATTTTTACTGTTTGTTTTAAAAGTTTTTTGACTATTTAAAACAGTGGTAATGCTCCACTGCAAACACCAAATGAAGTAGTGGCTGTGTGAGCTTTTTTTTCTGTGTCTATCTTTGTTTTCAACCTCTGTCATTCTAACAACTAACACGGTGTTATGCATTTTAATCAGCAGTAAGTCCTTCTGAGTCCATTGTGTGTACATGTGCCTTTAAATTGCTTATGGACTTACAGTGACCCCATGAATTTAATAGGATTTTCTTTGGCAAGGAATACTCAGAGGTGGTTTTGCCAATTTTTTCCTTTGAAATACAGCATACAACATCTGGTACTTATTGGGAGAGGTGATTCCCATCCAATAACTAACCAGGGCTGATTCTGCTTAGCTTCCAAGATCAGACAGCATCTGGTGCCTTTAGGATATTTAGGTAATCTACTCTGAGTCCATTGGGAGCTCCTTGTTAGTGAATTTTGATTTAGGGCCTTTGCAGACTGCTAGAAATAGTGCAAATTGAGTCCACTTTAACTGCCCTGGCTCAGTGCTAGGGAATCATGGGAACTGTATTTTTTTCTGAGACATTGAGCCTTCTCTGTCAGAGAGCTCTGGAGCCACAATAAACTACAGTTCCCATGATTCCCTAGCACTGAGCCAGGGCAGTTAAAGTGGACTCAATTTGCACTATTTCTGGCAGTCTGCAAAGGCCCTTAGAGTCCAAGGGCCTTGGCAGATGGCTTATTAAGCTGTCCTCGAGGCAGGGAAGAGGAGGGGCAGCCGCACGCTCGGCACCCCTTCCTCCTCCCGAGGTTGCCCTCGGAGCCGCCAGCCCTCCGCACGGCCGGCGCTCCAGGGGCAACCTCCTGCTGCAGCATCCACACACACTGCGGCGGATAAGTCAGTGAAAGTTTGCCTCACGTTTTTGAGGCACACTTTCGCTGACTTGTGAAAGGAGCGC